TCTCTCTCTCTCTCTCTCTCTCTCTCTCTCTCTCTCTCTCTCTCTCTCTCTCTCTCTCTCTCTCTCTCTCACACACACACACACACACACACACTACACACACACTAAACACATTAGACACACACGCAAAGACGAGAGAGAAAGCAGGCACAATATTTTTCCCTCGTCACCCTTGTCTCCTTTCTGGCAGAAATAAGGAGCGAAGAAAGACGAACCTGAACCTGAACACTCACCAAAAAGGTTAACAATACGGAAAGGTGCCAAAACCAGCTTAATGGTTGGGAGCCTGACAAAGGCCAGTGAAACAGTTCCGATGTAAGGTTTTACAGGGGCCAGCCTCAGTTTGACCCATAACTCTGCATCCACATCAAGGTCATATACTCCCACAGGAACCTCCGTTTCAAACGCACCCTTCTTCAGAGTGAGAGAAAGTAGACACCTTGCTCCTCCAGTATACCGCAGCCCCACATGGTACCTTTTTTCACAGCAACGAATTTTGCCAAAAGGCAACAATGGGTTTTATTAGTCCCGCATCAAAAGGCAGAGTCCTTTCTCAGACAACCACCACTTCACCAGACAGATGCATACCTGCATGGAACATACGCTGGATCACTTTTGAAACCTCTGACAACCATTGATTTTGCAATTTAGACTAGACACCAATCAATCATACACAAGAAACATTTCCGGGCTGCCGATCTCAGTAGCCCAGAAAAGACAGACCTCACCCTTGGGGTACCATCCCACTCATCTGGCTGGATTCGTTCTATCGTACTTACCATTGTATCTTCATAATCAACAGATAAACATTTTCGGTTCTATCTTTAAAATCAACCGAAAAACATATCCGTCTCTTGACCCTAGTAATCCAAGGTCCCTAGAATGAAGATTACATGCAAGTGGGACCTCACCAATGGGGTGCGGTCCCACTTATCTAGCTGGATTTTTTGTTCCTTACCGTTGATCTTCGTAATCGACGGCCAGATCCAACGAATTGAGATTACACCGCTGACCACAGTTGTGCTCTGCTTTCTCCTGTGCTTTACGTTTTTCCAACACCAATCCACTGTGTCGTTTCCTGTCCTGAAGCACCCATACATTCTTATGATACACCACCGATTAACCAGGGGGCTGTCATTTAGGTGTACGGGCCTCTGCTCGTGCCGGGTTCTTGGCGGGTTCAATTCATACATTATGGCAAAGGTCCGGAATTATGTCAAAGGTCCGCAGAAGGGTGCCATTTACTGGTGGTTTAAACCGCTAGCTAGTACACGGGCCCAGCCTTGCAGAAAAAGAAGGGCGCCATTTACTGGTGGTTTAAACCACTAGCTAGTACACGGGCCCAGCCTTGCAGAAAAAGAAGGGTGCCATTTACTGGTGGTTTAAACCACTAGCTAGTACACGGCCCCAGCCTTGCAGAAAAAGAAGGGTGCCATTTACTGGTGGTTTAAACCGGTAAAGAAGGGTGCCATTTACTGGTGGTTTAAACCGCTAGCTAGTACACGGGCCCAGCCTTGCAGAAAAAGAAGGGTGCCATTTACTGGTGGTTTAAACCGCTGGCTAGTACACGGGCCCAGCCTTGCAGTAAAAGAAGGGTGCCATTTACTGGTGGTTTACGGAGCTAGCTACCGTCTTCACCTGAATACAACGTACGTTCATTATTGCTGTATCTAGACTAAATGTCACCTCAAATACAGCTAAAATAACGGTACGTTGTATTCGGGTGAAGACAGTAGTACACGGCCCCAGCCTTGCAAAAAAAGATCGCGTCGCCTACTTGAAAATTTTGGGGGCGGGCCACTGTTGATATAAATTTCATCAATGGCCTTCGGCGCGTTTCCAGCCTCCGAAAGTCGCGGTGAGGGGCCCGCGGCCGATGTATGGCCGTGTACTGGTGGCTTCGGTTCCATCGACTGTCTATCGACATTCAGTTTGTGCACATATATTGTTATATTGTGTCGTACAGAAAAAGAAGTGCGTGACTGTGATGAAAGAAGTACACTCACAGATTGCAACCATGTAATGAATCAAAATGTTTCACAAGATGAAAAAAAAAAAAAAAAAAAAAAAGTTTCACAAGATGGCTAATTATATTTCAGGCTTTCTTTTTCTTTTTTCTATTAATAAACCAGTCTCAATTTCACTTAAATTCAGTAACATTTCAGGCTTTCAGAGTATCGAATCTGACAGAAAAAAAAAAAAAAAGAGATCTGACATTTGTAGCCTGACAGTGTTAGCTGGGCAGTGCCTGCTGCTAGAGCAGAGATTCCCATCCCCSRGGKGRSGSSRRGSRGRGRRGGRGGGSSGGGGGGGGGGGGGGGGGGGGGGGGGGGRGGGTGATTCCCCTTTCTGGTTCTTTTTTAACTCTATTTTGAAGTTTCTGCCGTTACCTCTGAAGGTGCATTTTACTGCTAACTTTCATCTACATGTCATTTGCTCTTTCCGTTTTTCGCCCTTCCTTTTACTCTTTCCCCTTTTTTCTTCCATTTTTTTTCCCATTTTTTTTCCCTTTTCGTGAATTTTTTCCTTTTACCTCTTTTTTTCCCCTTTTTCTTCCCTCTTTTCACCTTTCGCTTCCTTCCTTGTTCTTGTCCCCTTCTTCCTATCCTTTTCTTCTCGTTTTTCTTCCCCTTTTAATTTATCTTTTTCCTTTTTTCTCCCTTCTTTTTTTTCTTCCCCCCCCCTTGTTTTCTTGTCTCATTTCCTCCCCCTCCCTCTCTCTTTCTTTCCTCTTTCTATCCTGTTTCCTCCCCTCCCCCCTTCTTTCGGAATTTTTTCCCTCGAATTTTTCTGCTGCCTTCTCATCGACGAATTCGTCCATCCCGATCCCAGACAAATCCCGATCCCAGACAGCTCAGTGGGTGGTAGAGTGAGGTGGGCCGATAGGCAAAGGGTTAAGCGGAAAGCCTCCTGATGAGACCGGGGCACACCCGGTTGAAACATGTAGAGGAATGCGTGCGCGTTTGAGCGATATACACGTATGTAAGAAACGATTTTTTATGGAATGCGTGTGAAGAGCAATCTGGCCATTGCTTACCTTTCTTCTTCTTCTTCAAATCCCTCCCCCGTTTATTCAATTTCCGTTATGGGCTGCACACCAGCAGCCTAAAGCAGTGTCAAGTTTCCCTTGGTGGTCAAGGTCAAGCAGGGAGAGCTGCACGAGCGAGCAATCAAGGCGGGATCGAGCTGCAATTGCTAACTTTTTTTTTTTTTTTTTTTTTTTTGTAACTGCTAACTTAGGAGCTTAGGGGTAAAAAAAGCATCTTTCCACTCTATTCATTCTTTTGTGTTTACAGTAACCATCAGAAGCCGCAGCCTGACAGATCACCCGGCCCTTTGTTTCTCTCATTCATCGACCCTGCACTCCCACTGACGTCAGTCGCCGCCTCCTGCCTTCTCTCTCTCTCATCCCCTCCTTTCCCGCCTCTTTATCCATTCTCCATTCCCGCTTTCACCATTCTCCATTCCCGCCATTCCCGCCATTCCCGTCATCCCCGCTGTTGGCGTTCCCCGACCTTTATTTTTATCTCCACTGAATGAACGGTGAGTGTGAGTCCATGCCACGTCATCGCTGCTTTTCTGTTCTTCTGAAGAGTGCAGACCATCGACTACCTTTTTCCCCTGAACACAATACTTCAGCATCATGACTGCATTTGGACCAAAAGACCGTTTGTATACATACGTTCATGATGATGAGAGGCGAATTGCTCTCGGGGGCACGAAGGATAGTCCATCATACTCTTCTTGTCTTTAGGAAATGCAACCGAGGAATTTGAAGTCATGTGCTTAAAGAATTCCGCAAAGAAAGAAGGGGGCCAGGAAGCAGAGGGAAGGCAGAGCAGAGAAGCGGGGGCGAAGGGGGGCACAAAGGGGGGGCAGAAAAAGGGGGCAGACGCGAAGAAGGGGGCCCAGAAAAGGGGGGGCAGAAAAGGGGGGCAGACGCGAAGAAGGGGGGTGGCCAGAAGGGGGAAGAAGATGGAGAAGGGGGGAAGGGGGGAAGGGAAAACCAGGAAAGAGGGAGAGGAGGGAAAGAAACGGAGGTGGGGGTTGGGAGAAGGGGAGATGGAAGGAAACCCAGTCCATCGGTCTGAAGCAGAGCAGCACACCTGGCGGTTACCTATCCTTACCGAGCATAGGCTTGCTCGTCCATGACTTTAGTCTCTTTTTTATTATCACTTTTCATTGGCTTCCCATGGGACAGGACGATCGGACAATCAGGCCCTTTGGTAGTATCATCTATCTATCTCGACTCCCCTTTTTTTTCCCCGAGCATCGCGCGCACCTCCTTCACCGCGCCGCAGTGGGCAAAATTGACGACATGTACCTTTTTTTTTGACGACAGGTACCTATTTTATTTTTTTAATGAATTCATCCATTCGCGGATTTTTATTCACGTCTATTACTTCTTTCTCACTTTATGAAGTTTATGTCCTGATTGCTTATCATTATTTAAGGATATCTTCTGGGAGATGGATGGTTCACTAAAGATCTTCGATAAGAATACAAGGTTCTTTACATTCGACATTATAGCCAAAGAATTTCAAGAAGAATTGATCAAAATCGTATCTTTTCTTTTTTCCTTTTTTTCTTTTTTTTTTCAAAATCGTATCTTTGATAAATCACCATTACTTCCTATCCACCTTCTTCCCCCGAATACAACGTACGGTCATTATAGCTGTATTTAGACTGAAAGATACCCCAAATTCAGCTATGATGACCGTACGCTGTATTCGGGGGAAGAGTGTAGTGACCTGTATTCCCGAAAAATATTTCTACATAAATTCACGATGGATTTCTTAATATTAAGCAATTAACGACGGCATTCATGATTGGACTTCATGGCCGCAGTCTTTCGCGATTGGACTTGATGGTTGATTAATGTATGATTGGAATTCATGATTAGAGATCATGATTGGAATTTAGGATAGAACGTTCATGATTAGAGTTCATGATTGGAATTTATGAATGGAATTCATGATTAGAGTTCATGATTGGAATTTAGGAATGGAATTCATGATGAGAGTTCATGATTGCAATTTACTGTATGAGAGGAATTCATGATTGGACTTCATGATCAATGATTGGACATAATGATGGACATCGTGATGTCATTTGATGTGAATTAATCAATGAACTTATGGATGGAATTTGTGAATGCGATTCTGGATGAGATCAAGAATGATTCTGTTTTAAGTTAAATTCTGGTTGACGACAACTGGATCGGATTGGTGGTGCGTTGATGGGGGGAAAGAAAGAACGAAAGAAAGAAAGAGAGAGAGAGAGAGAGAGAGAGAGAGAGAGGAGTGGTTGTCACGACTGCGGCGCAAAGAGAAAAAAGAGGAGGACTCACTGCAAGTCATTGGCTCGCCGCGATGCGCGCCGCTGGACGTTCCTTACGGACAAGGGCTCGTAGTCGAGCGAGAACTCCATGATTTTCACTCTTTTCACGTAATCCGGTTTAGGAAGCTTATCAATGGCAGGCTGGAGCAGCCCGACCAACCACGTTTCCAAGCTCCGCCGATAAACCTTCCATACCTTATGAAGCACCATGTTCACCCATTCCACGGACTCCTTCCGCCCGGCGTCCGTCTCGGGCATGGCGGCGCTTGGCGGCGCCGCCGCGCCGCCGATCCCGACGCCGCCGGCTGCGCCACCCGCCCCCGCGCCCCCGGGCGCGCCACTTCCGCGGCCGTCCCCTCTGATCGCTGCCGAACTCAAGGCCGGGTGCTCGTAGCCCACCATCGTCCCGATCCAAGAGAAGAGCAGCGTCATTGCCAGCGTGGCGCTAGCGCCCAGACTTGCAAACGCCACATCACGCGCCCGGCCCTCGACAGGCAGGTGCCACGTAGGACTGGGCGTAGGAGAGGAGGCGTATTTCACCGTAGTCGTGTAGCGGTCCGCTTGTAGGCCGGGGCTCATTTCCCCGCACATCCCCTCCTCGATCACCGTCATTAGTCCCGACACCCCCCTGACCATCACGATCTGCCGGCCTCCCGCCTCCTCCTCCTCCATCGCGCGCGGCGATGCGGACACGTGGCGCTGCCGCCGCCGCCGCCCATTTCTCCTACTCCTCCTCTCCCCTCCCTCTCCTGAAACTTCCGATGCCACAGATGATGGTAGCCTTGACGATAAACCCCCATCAGTACATGATGATGATGATGTTGATTGTGATGGGTTTCGAAGACCGCCCACGATGTTCCACGTCGGACAGGAGGCAAGGGGTGAGAGTCTGCCACGCGGCGGTCGTCCGCCTGCCGGGGTCAAGGCCTGATGCTTCGGCAGCACCCGGGTCGGGGCGCTCGGCCGGCCAGCGGAAGAAGACGGGGTCGGGGTCGGGGCCGGGACGGAGCCCGTGACCACCGCGGCTCGAGATAATGGCGGAAGCAGCGCCATGCGCCTCTCGACGGGACCGCAAAGAGTCCCGACAGAGAAGAGTGATTCGATTCCTCCGCGTCAGTAGGAGGGAGGACAAGCGACGACTGATAAAGGACGGACGGGGGCGTCTCCGATAGACAGCGTGATCGCCCTCTTTTTCCGTCAGATGCGCTGCGCACGACCAGTCGACGATGACGCTCGACTGGTCGTGCGCGACAGCCACCAGCCGTCGTCGGACGCCCGGACAGAGGGCCCAGGCAAAGCTACACCGCTAGAACGGCCGCTCTAACAACCCCACAGAGAGCGCAAGGGCGGCGGCTACGCCTCGCGGCGCGGGGCAACAGACAGATTGAACATCTCCGACGACCACAACGCGATCGGGACCTGACCGACCGGGACGCGCCCACAATCGCGTCCCCATATGGCCCGACTGAGACCAAGATACCGACCGCATTCTCTCTATCTCTCTCTCTCTCTCTCCGTGTGTGTTTGAGAATATGCCGAAACCTGCTTCCTCAGCGGCACTCGCTCCTTGCAAGATCAAGCGCGGATCAAGCGCGGATCAAACCTCTCCGTAGACCATATAAAGAAGAAAGAGCTATGGCAAACCCACCACAAGTACTTCGCTATCTTCTGTGAGTCAGCCGAATCTAGCACACAAGAAAAAAAAGTGGCCGGTTTTGAACGAAATGACCGGCTATATAAAAACACTCCAAGATCAAATACGTAATTAAACTTCACCATCCAGCATCGTTCCCGCGTTTGTCCGGCGTTTCCCCCGCTCTTCCATTCCGCGAGCACCTTCTTGCCCCGCCCCGCCCCGCCCCCTCGCCCGCTCTTTCCCTTTCTCCAATCGTGCGCGGAACTCTCTATACCTGCCCCCTTTTTCCCCTATTTCTTATCAATATCTATCTGTACCGTCCCGACTACACATCGACACAAACTCATGAACATGAAATCCCCTCCTGTTGGATGCTGATGGTAATGGTGATGATGACGACGATGATGATAACAATGATGATCGTGATAATGACCACGATGACGATGATGATGATGATGATGATAAGGGTGGTGACGATAACCGGCGTGCAAAGTCGTCCGCCATAGCCACCTCCGAGTTCCTCCTCGAACGCGCCGATGGCTTGATCCCTTCCGTTGTCATTTCCCACAACATGATTTCTAGCAGAAGCTCCGGACGCGTGGACCGAGAGAATCCTCCCACGTAGGGACCTCCCACTGACCAGGTAGATTGAGATTGGCAGGCGCTGGGAAAAGAGATCACCACCGTTCTTTCAATCCGCACAAGAAGATTCAGAAGCAGCGGTCCATCGCCTAGGTGGCAAGGCGTTCGGGCCCTCAGCAAAGCCGGCACACGCAAATTCCTGCGTTTTTGCTTTTTTTTTTTTTTTAAGCATACGCGCTGGCGGTGTTGGTGGTGGAGGAGGAAGGACAAGCTTCTGAGTCTATTTTTATTCATTTAGCTTGGGATTCGAGCCTATGGTCTGTCTATCGATCAACAGTCCATTGGTGTACCATTCAGCCACATTGCCTTGGAACCTTCCAATTTTATTTTAATTTTATTTATTTTATTTATTTTATTTATTTTATTTTCATTGTCGACCTGACCTGCCCCCAGGACTCGAATTGAACAATGGGCAGCATCACCACACCACTCTCGACATGTGCAAAATGAGAACGAACTTCCGCCTAGAACGTGGCCAGATGCGACCGCCACATTTTTGTCTTTCTCACATTTTTCGAGAGTGGTGTGGCGAGGCCCTATTGCATGCATTTTATTTTATTTTTTTATTTTATTTTTTTTGCATTCGCATTCTAATTTCAATCTGCGGTTTCGAAATCAGGGGCAAGGTCCCACTTGAACGGATTAAGAGAATCTGGCCGTTGATCTTTGCTATCTACGGTCTCAAATGTGTCTGACAGCTTAATTCGTGTAAGTGGGACCTAGCCCCAGGTCTCTATTTAAGGAGTTCATGTCATGGATGTACCGACTGGTCCCACTTACAGAGATCGACCAATGTCTGTTCGTTTCTCTTTCCTATTGCGTGCGTGCCATTTAACCCCGCCGGTAGGCTGTTTCAAACCGCGCGGTCTGCCCGCGGAAGAGAAACGAACAGACATTGGTCGCTCGCTGTTGCTGAGAGCGGAGCAGAGACAAAGCGCGCGGAACAGAGAAACGAGCGCGCATGGCACCATTGGTCCACCGCGCCAAAAAGCTGCAAGGGCGATCTACAAAAACCTAACTTCAGCCGTTCGCGAATATCCACGGCGGCCTCCAGTTCAGCAGAGAAAATCCGCATCCCTTGCGTCAACTGTATGCGAATGGGTATCCCCTACTCGTATGACACAAGGGCCTTATGGTTAGGTGTTAGCCTGCCAAGCCGTTGGTTGTGTGTTCGAGTCTTATATTCAGCGTGCGCATTGCCCGACTATCCCTACCGTTCTTGCTCGCTTGCCTGAAGGTCCTAAAGGGGTAGAAATAGGGCCTCGCTGCACTACTCTCGAAACGTGCAAAACGAGAGTGGAATCTTCCGCTAGAATATGCAAAGATGCACGGCCATGATTTTTGTCTTTTGTGCATGTCGAGAGTAGTGCAGCGAGGCCCATAGCCCGTTCAGGCGACCCCTTCGAGGCTGTGACACGATCCGAAAGTCAGCAGTAAGAACGTACACACGAACAGTTGCCTCCAGATCCAAATCGCACACTCGGGAAGCTGCACACGCAGGGGCCTTGCAAGCTGGGTGGTTCTTTAATTTCCTCTTTTTTTTCTTTTTTTTTTCTTTTTTTTCTAATTTCCGAACTCGGGCCAACCCGTTACTGTACCTTTTGGTCCTGGGCCCACCACTCACCAAATGTGTAAAATGGACCATGTATATTCCCCTGGAACATGCAAATATACCCCCAGCATAACTTTTGTCTGATCATGCTGACATATTTTGATCCTACAATCAGAGATTACTTGGAATCCTGAATTACTACTCAACCGGGGCCTTACTCCGGGTAGACTGTGAGGACCCCGGGTTCTCAAAAAAAAAAAAAAAAAAAAAAAAAAAAAAAAAAAAAAAGTCCCACTTTGGCCAATTCTTCATTCCAGGCCATTGATCTTCAGAAAGGATGGTCAGGAATGAAGAGTTTGGGTAAATGGGACTTGGTCCCCAGAATACAGGATTTCAAAGAAGAGGAAGAGGGGGGGGGCCGGGTAGTACTTGGTACTAGACCGGCCAGGAGGCGCTTGCGGAACCCCAGACAATCCAGTCCCTTTGGCTGAATGGTACACACATGATGCTGTTTGTAAACAGATAACAAGTTTGAATCCTTCTTGTTACTTTTGTTTGTTTTCTGAAAAAGGCCAAGGGTTTGAGATAACATACTGGCCCGAGGTAATTCAGAATTATTTCATTTCATTCATGGACTCAAAGTTGCATCTGGATTTGAACTTGAGTGTGCATTTCAACAGTTCATGGGTGTACCAACTGACTCAGGCCTGTGGGTCCAGTTTATAACTCATTTTTGTGACTCCCGCGTAGTTTCCCCTTAAATCTTTATTCCGGAAAAGTGTCAGCTTACGATTGTCGTTTCGAGGGCGGTCGAATCAGATGAACATTTTAAACATCAGAGAACCCGAGCCCTGTCAGAATGTAGCTGAATAGTTCATATCAGGATCTATGCGTTATGGTGCAGACACATAGGTGCTTTCTGACATGGCTATCTTGCCTGGGTTGGATCTCATTCCATACCAGTTGAAAAACATCCTTGAAAAAGTGCCCTAACCTCATTCCAGAAAGATCAGTAGTTCTGTGACACTTGTAATTGGGCATGAAGATTGAGAATCATGTCCACCCTTTTGTGCCCTTGAATTCAAGGTACTGCACGGGAGCACCTTGAGAACAAGGACTGCCGGCATCGATAGTTCAGGCATGGTGGGGATGACAAGGGCCCAGTGTCATTTCTAGTCCAGGATGCTGACAGCTTCAAGTCCAACACAGCACTGCCAACCTGCTGCAGCACCTGATACCACAAAATTGATAATAGGAGTGTATGCATTGTGGCAACGCATACTTCTGAAAGGGTTCATGGGCTCCAATAGATGACAAGAGAGGTCCATGCAGTGTGAGCATCACCTCGAATTTGATCGCAGCTCCAACCGCTGGTGCTAGCGCTCCAGGATTCGAATCCTTCCCATATAGCATTAGAAAGGCACCATTCCGAATCGATGTCACAGTTCAAGACAACAGGTGGAAAGGGCCATAGTCTGTCCTATGTGTGGTTATGGCGTGCTGCACAAATGGTGTTCACGGTCAACGTGGCAGCTTTCCTCATTATAGCATTGTTGTTGTTGCCGCTTGCCGGCATGCCCGATGCCTTTGTCCACATAAGTGTCATTCTTAGATCAACCGTACAAGTGATGGGCAATGAAATGGACCAAACAGGCAAGAAACTCTGTAATGGAATATGCACACGGAAGACTGGAGATAATCAAGGGGCAAGGACAAGCACTGGAGGAAGGGGAGGCACCATAAATCACTTGAGATTCAACCTCATGTCGTATCCACGCCTCCCTACCACCGTGCAGTCAGCAGAGGCGCACACTTCCTTGCCCACTTGTAGCCTCTCCCTAACGCTGGTTTGTTTGATCCACAGGTTGTTTTTGCCATTAGGAGGGCACTCCGTGCTTCCATTTCCCAAGGTGCAAAGGTGGGGCCTGGTCATATGCCCATGTCTTCACCTCTAGCTGAGTTGCATGAGGACTTGTGTCCCTGCATAATGCTATGTTTGTTGTCATTTGTGAGGCCATCGACAGGCAAGTGCAGTACGTCCTAGGAGTGTAGAGTGTCCCTTCCTTTGGGGGCAGCACCATATGGGACAGTGAACAATCGCCGCGTCGAGCAAGCTCCAACCTTCGCAACGTTTGTGGGGAGTGATTGTGTCACTGGCGCGAAAAGTTAAGGCGGGGTTGCCACTGCACTAACATTACTGTTGGAGAAACATTTGTAGATATACATCAGCAACGTGCAAACTGGTGAGTGGTAAAAAAAAGGAGAAAGAAGCAGTTGGGGTTGTAGATGAGGATTGGATGACATTGGGATGGAAGTGCATGCTTGACGCATTAAGGGAATGATAAATGACCGCTACCTTCTTAACGCCAAAAAAACGTACATACGTTCTATAACTTTTATTCGAATTACCTCTGGAAATTGGGTTTTCAAAAATCGTTTGTTTTTCCCGAATAGCACGTATGTTCGAATATAACCTATGTAAGTTGTATTTGAATACAACGTACGTATGTTGTATTTGAATTCTCAATATATTTATTTTTTTTAAATAATCCAAAAAATCAAAAAAAAAAAATGTTATACAACAATTCAGTACAAACAATGTTTGCCTGAGGGTTTTATCGAAATTCACGAGCAAAGTCCATTAAACAAAAAAAAAAGGAGGATGAAAATGTTTTGTACTAGACTACCAGAGTGGCCCGAGGCCACTTGCCCGGGCGGACGGGAAAAAAAAAAAAAAAAAAAAAAAAAAAAAAAAAAAAAAAAAAAAAAAAAACCTTTATTTTAAAATTTAAATTTGGTAAAGAATTTTGCCATGACCCTGAGGCAAACGTTGTTCAGTTTATTTTTCTGCAAAACATAGTTTTTTTCCGGATTTTTTTTATTTTTGTTTTTTTTACTAGGACCTTCCTTGGTCCTTCCACGGTCAGGCCGTCCAGGAAAATAGGTTGACCCGGGTGGCCTGGCTGGTAGCCTAGGTTTTGTACTGATTTTTTCATAATTTTGATTTTTTTTTTAAATCATTTAAAAATCTGAAAAAAAACATATTTTGTATAACATTGCAATGCAAACAACTTTTCTCTGAGGGTCTTGGCGAAATTCCCAACCAAATTTTAGATAAAAATAAAAACAATGGTGGTACTACAGGCTTCTGAAAAGTTGTACCCGAAAACTCGTTTTACAATGTATGTACGTTGTATTCAAACAGAACGTACCCCGTACATTGTGTTCACATACAAGGTACCTACGTTTTTTTCAGGTTAAGAAGGTAGCATTGGGAGGGGGGTAAGGAGGGGGCATAAAGACAACCAAACCATTAGAGCAGATTTATATAGCAAATACAAATAGGGTTGATCCCACCTCTAATCATGGACGACGTTTCTATGATATTAACAAGTTTGTCATCCTTTCTCGTTGCAAGAAGAATCTGAAGCAAGTATCATCATGGTGAGGCTACAACTATGGGAGGATATAGGTGAAAGGAGTGCAGTGCAAGTGGCATCCCAAGAGATTTATCAATTGAACACAAGTG